AGTGAAACTCCGTCTCAAAAAAAAAAAAAAAAAAGAAGGTAGTTGTCATTGATTGCAGGTTAGGGACAGAAAATGCTGTGGAATGAAACAAAATACAAGTTAAAGAACCAAATTCCAAAAATACCCATTGCTACTATTGACTGAGTGCCTACTGTTTGCCAGGCCCTGTATACAGTCTATTTCCTATATTGTCTTATTTAAGCCCCACAAGGGTATAGTGTGATTACACTGTTTCTTAACAATGAAGAGACTGCCCAAATCGCCCACCTGGGAAGTGGCCCAGCTAGAATTTGAATCCAGGCCTGTTTTCCTCCAAAGCTTGTTCTATTCTCTATCTGTCATAAAATGTGGGGGCTTTGTGTGGTAAACTTGCTCAGTTGGGCATAGCAGTTGTTAGGAAACCTGAGGCTGGTAACACCAGCTGTAATACCAGCTGTCCGTCTGACTCATGCAACTGTTAAAGTTGATAGGGCTGAGGTGTCAGACTGAGCTCTGAATTTCCTGATTCCTATAACAATATTAACTTAAACATTTTCAAATTGGGAAATTCACCATGCCTACAGAAGAGTGTGTATATTTCATATGTATGGTGTAAGCTGTTCCCATCACCCAAGTTAAAAAACAGGATGTTTCTAGTACCTGGGGCCTTCTATAATTGCAGCTACCAGAGGTAAATACTGGCTTGACTTTTGCGTAAATCATTCCTTTGCCTTTCTTTAATATTTTAGTATCTTTTAAAATAAATCCCCAAACAATGTATTGTTCTATTTTGAAAAACTGAGTAGCAAGCCAAAAATAGCTGTGTAAAGAAACTATTAGGCTGGGTGGTGGCTCACACCTGTAATCCCAACACTTTGGGAGGCCGAGGGAGGTGGTTCACGAGGTCAGGAGATCGAGACCATCCTGGCTAACACAGTGAAACCTGTCTCTACTAAAAATACAAAAAATTAGCTGGGTACTGTGGCATGTGCCTGTAGTCCCAGCTACTCAGGAGGCTGAGGCAGGAGAATTGCTTGAACCCAGGAGGCAGAGGTTGCAGTGAGCTGAGATTGTACCACTGCACTACAGCCTGGGCAACAGAGAAAAAAGAAAGAAAGAAAGGTCATTATTGCCTTTTCTTAGATGAAGGTTCCCAAGGCAGGGAAGCTGAGTGGAGTCTCAGGGACTTGGTCTGGCTTTGCTTTCCCTGGGAATTTATAAGGACCCCTTCTGGGAAGTCAGTAGGCAATGACATAAGCAAGTCTGGGGAAATACAGGGCTCATTGCAACTGGAGGGTCTGGTAAGGCCGATGTGAATTAGGTGCTGGCTGTCCAGAGGAAAATGGCCAGAGGAAGCATGCTGCTTCATACAGTCCATGGTAAACTTGCCAAAGGCTATTCTAGCTCACAGGAATAGGCAGCGACTAAACACTTCCATGGAGTGAAATGAATGCCCTCAGCTGACTCAGGCAGCAGGAGTTGAGAAGAAATTATGTTAGTTCATGATGAAGACAAGTCAAATATAGATAAAGGTTAGGGTCAGGCTTGCCTGGACTTCTAGAGGATAACTGCCCTCAATATGTCTGAGTCTTGAGTCACTGCTCCATTCTGTCTGAACTATCTATCTACTTATAGTACACAGCCATCAACCTGAGATTTCCCTACATGGTCTTTCTGCATTGAGTCTCCTCTTTGGACTCTACTTTCCTGGTTTACTCTATTTTGCTAGACCATATCCTCCAGTCACTTCCTTAGAATGAATGTATGAAAGTTAAAAATTTCTGAGCTCTTACATGTCTAAAAGTTCCCCCATACTGGATTGATAGTTTTGCTGGGTATAAAATTCTGCACTGGCCATCATTTTCCTTCAGAATTTTGATTGCATTGTTCCATTATCATCTCTTTTCAATATTGCTTCTAAGAATTCCAAAACCATTTTTTTTCTTTTTGAGACAGAGTCTCACTCTGTCACCCAGGCTGGAGTGCAGTGGCGTGATCTCAGCTTACTGCAACCTCCACCTCCTGGGTTTAAGTGATTCTCCTGCCTCAGCCTCCCAAGTAGCTGGGATTACAGGGACCAGCCACCATACCTGGCTAATTTTTGTATTTTTAGTAGAGACAGGGTTTTGTCATGTTGGCCAGACTAGTCTTGAACTCCTGATCTCAGGTGATCTGCCCTCCTCGGCCTCCCAAAGTGCTGGAATTACAGGCATGAGCCACTACTCCTGGCCTCCAAAACCATTTTAAAACTTTTTCTGGAATCTTGTAAAATTTTTTTTTTTAGTCCTCAGCATTTTAAAATTTTAATGATGTGTCTTGGTGTTCTTCCATTGTGCTAGTCACCCAAGAGGTAGTTTGAATCTGGAAACTTCTCTCCTTATGTTTTGGAAATGTTCTTGATTAGTTTATAGATGATTTCTTCCTCTCCATTTTATTTCTTCTCTCTTTATGGAACTGCTATTACTTTAATGTTAGAACTCCTGGACTAATCCTTTAATTTTCTTCCATTTTCCATCTCTGTGTCTTTTTGCTTTACTTTTGTATGATAGTTGCAACTCTATCTTTAAATTCTTGAATTTTTCATTTTTGTTGTCATGCTATTAACTTGGTGGCTCTAGAGTAGTCAGAGAGCTCTTACTTAGAAGGTGAAATCTGAGCAAGAAGTATGTTTGACTGTTCTTTTTTGTAGTATCTTACTGTTGTTTTATGGATGCAACATCCTTGACTTAGGATCATAAGATCGGTGGGTTTTTTGTTTGTTTGTTTGACTGTTTTTCACCCTGTTTTTCTACAAGTTGCTTTCCCCTTTTCCCCTTGTTTGGCTTATATCCCCCATGTTAGTTGCATTCTCTGGGCTTATGATACTCTTGGTGGTTTTCTTTCTCATGATTGGCAGGTAGGACTTTAAAACTTGTTGGGCATGTGGGTGAAACTTGTCTACCGTGAATTTCACTGTAGACATTTTGGGAAATGACAGTGTTTGTATCTTTAGATCTTGCCTCCTGCGTTGATCAAGTTATCTGAATAGACCACAGACCTCTTGCCTGGGGATAAACCAGAAATCTGTTTCAGTTTGACTCAGTTCTCCTTGTTTTAGTCATTTCCTTCAGTTCCAGAGGTCCCTCATGCTGATCATTCCAGAATTCTTTACAGATTCTAGGATACACATTGCATGGTTTTCAGCTTTCTCATTTTGGGGTTAAGATTGGGATTTCAGGAGTCTCTTAAATCCATTACCATTCATTCGTTCAGCAAATTGAGTACCTGATTTGTGCCAGACACTCTTCTATGTGTTGGGGATACGTCAGTGAACAAAACAGACAAAAATCTTTGCCCTGGAAATACATACACTCCAGTCAGGGGAGAGGAACAATAAGCCAAAGGAAGGAAATTACAGAGTGTGCTAGAAGGTGGTAAGTGTTTCAGAAAGTAAGTAAAGTGGGTTCGGGAGTTGAGAGTTTGGGAAGGAGGAAGGGGATAAATGATGGCAACTTTAAATAGAGTAGTCAGAGAGCTCTTACTTAGAAGGTGAAATTCAAGTAAAAACTTAAAGGAGGACATGGAATTAGCCATGTGGACAGCTGGGGGAGGGCTTCCATGTAGAGAGGACAGCCAGAGCCAAGGCCCAGAGGCAGGAGCATACCTGGTAGTTTTAGGGAACAGGAGGCCAGGATGCTGAGTGGAGTAGGGGGGGGGGGTCAAAGGAGAACCTTGAGTCTAGGTGGTTCTAGACAGGTATTTTTGTCTGTTTTGGGCCCTGAAGGTTGCTGGCTGTTGGACTTGGGCTCTGAGAGAATAGGGATGCTGTTGGAATGTTTGTACAGGAGCGATGTGACCTGAGTTTTGTTTGTAAAGGGTTAGGCTTTGGCTGTGACATTAGGACTAGGCTCTGGGGACAGGAACAGAAGCAGGGGGACCAGTTTTGCAGCCTGTGCAGCTTTCCAGGTGAGCAGGGATTTGGCTTGGAGCAGGATGGTATACAGGAGGTGACAAGAATTGGCAGGGCTCTCTAGCTGTGTGTCTGTATGTAGACACTGACCACAGATGGCATTTGAGCACTAGAAACCTGGTGGGTCCACATGGAGTTTCCATAAGCACATAATATACACCAGGTTTCAAAGACTTAATATAAAAAAAATAAGAATGAAATCTATCTTGCTTTCTTTCTTGTCTTTTTTCTCTTTTCTCTCCTTTCCTCTCCTCTCATCTCCTCCCCTTTCCTCCCCTCTCTCTTTTTTTTTTCTTTTTTTGAGACTGAGTCTCGCTTTGTCACCCAGGCTGGAGTGCAGTGGCATGATCTTGGCTCACTGCAATCTCCACCTCCCAGGTTCAAGTGATTCGCCTGCCTTGGCCACCAAGTAGCTGGGATTACAGGCTGTGTCACCATGCCTGGCTAATTTTTGTATATTTAGTGGAGATGGAGTTTCATTATGTTGTCCATGCTGTTCTCAAACTTCTGACCTCAGCTGATCCACCTGCCTCGGCCTCCCAAAGTGCTGGGATTACAGGCATGAGCCACCATGCCCGGCCATGTCTTGCTATTTTCTACATGGATTGCATGTTGAAATGGTAATGTTTTGGCTATTGTGGGTTAAATAGAATATATGATTAAAGTTAATTTCATCTATTTCTTTTTACTTTAAAAAATGTGTCTTTTAGAGGATTTGAAATTACACATGTGGCTTGCATTTGTGCCCTGCATTTTATTTCTGTTGGACAGTGCTCTTTGGGACATGCTTTGAAGAAGGAGTCAACAGGATTTGACAGATTACAGAGGAGAGGCTTCACGGGTGACTCCAAGACTTCAGGGCTGAGCACCGGGAAGAATGGGATTAATATTAGCCAAGATGAGGAAGGCTGTAGGTTTGGCAGGTGTGTGGGTAGGTTAGGAGTTTAGTGTTGAATATGTTGGAGGTGTTTATGAAACTTTGAAGTGGAGATGGAAAATAGGCAGTTGGATGTATAAGTCCAGGCTTCAGGGGAAGAGTTCAGGCTGAGGATGAGGATGTGGGAGTCTGAGCAGAGGTTGTATTCAAATATTCAATCCATGAGACTCGATGAAATCACATCTCTTCTGGATGATTTACAGCTTGCAGAATCATTTTCTCTGTCTTTGTAGGTTTATGTCTTTATTTTGTTTCATCTATTTTTCAGTTATTCACTATTTTAGTGAGTTTTGAGTAGGAGCCAGATTGGATGCATGTGTTCAGTTCACCATCTAACACTGTATTAACTACTTTAAACTCATGTGGTTGTCCGATTATTTTTCTGATCTTTTATTCTGGATAGAAGAAGATGCCTATGAAGTTGTAGTAATCAGTAAACCTTCCCACATCAGCCTTTCTGGAAAAATAATGTCTTCTGCGTTCCCCATAGGCAAGAAGGCTGCTCGATCTTGCCACAGTGAAGGCGAATGGATTGGCTGCCTTCCTTCTACAGCATGTTCAAGAATTACCAGTCCCGTTGACTCTGCCTTTGGAAGGTAGGTGTATGTACTCAGTTAATCAGAAAGGGAAGGCAAGTCAGTACAGATCCAGTGTGATCCAGCAGAACACACCTCGGTTAGCGTCCCATATGCTGGCAGTGCAGCCTCCCTGTGACTCAGTTTCCTCATGTTAAGGATAGCACCACCCCCTATCTCATTGGGTTTTTAGGAGGATTAAAAGGACAAAAGTATATAATGTTAGCTATTAGCTTTCATTATCTCCCACACAATGTAATGGTAATTAGAGCTACCATATATTCAGGACTAATTAAAGGTGCTACTTAACTATCCAAACTCTCATTATCTGTACCAAAAAAATATGGACATATGTTTGGAGTTAGGGCTGGTATCTCTTGATCTCTGAAATTTAGCAGCTCACAATTGGAAACTGAAGAACCAAGTGGATCTAGAGACTGTGGTATCCCTCAGTGCCCAGGGTCACCACCCAAACTCACAACAGGTGGGGCTTGAACAGCACCATTTAACCATGCCAGGCATCCTGCCAGGTGCCTTATGGACAATGTCTACCCTTTGCAACAACCCTGAGAAGTAGGTCGTGTTTTTTTCCACCATATAGATGTGGAAACTGGGCAGAGAGGTTAAGTGACAAGGGAGGGGGAGATGGGTCTGATTGTAAACTGTCCCCACCTGTACTTTCTCTTTTCTTGGGAGAAGAAATGTCAGCTGTAAAGAGAGAGTGCAAGCCTGGCACTCTTTAGGGCTTATTCCTACACCGCTGTACAGAAAGCTCATTGGCACCGAAGCCCCCTGAGCTGTGCGTGGCTCTGGCAGATGGGTCTATCACCCTGGGCCCTGGCCTCTGGGCAGTGAGCAAGCCTGTGGAAGGGGTGACTGGAAGCCTGTGCCTGGCACTCAGTTGTGCACCATCTCATCAAAGAATGGGATGTAGACATCAGTCCACCACACAGGGGTGCACAGCATGGAGCGCGGGGCCTGGTTCAGCCCCTGGTTGAGGTTAGCTGTTGATATCATCAAGTACAACTGGTCACTGTAAGACCAGGCCAGGGTGCAAGATTCCCCACATTTCTAAAGGTGACAACTGATGTGTTTATTTCTCTATAAAATGACATTTTTTTTTTCCTGGAGAATTTTAGTATCATTGGTGATGGCTGGAAAGCCTGCATTGGAAATCAGGTCAGAAGAGGAAGATATATATCTGATATGTATTGGAGAGGAAGATATCTATCTTATGGTCTAAGTTCAGTGATCCTGGTATATTCAGAGGGCAGAGAACTCAGCAATAATCATCAACTCTGGGAACAACAGAGGTGACATAAACACAGCGTGTCCCCTCTGTGTGACCACAGATAACCATCAATGAACTCAGAGCTCTCTGAAAATTGCTTGTTAGTTTTGGGGTTGAAAATAAGTGGGCGAGTGTTTGGTTGGGAGCAGTGAGGCTGTGATGGCCGAGGACCGTTCCACCAACCTGGGACTAAACCAGTACTTCCCCATTTCCCCTGAAAGGGGAACTAAACCCTGACACAGGAAATGGTTTGCTTGCATTGCTGTCAGGATGAAAAAGGAAGAGCAGTAGCCTTTTAAACACACCCAGTGCATGAAGTCTCCCAGCATGGGGTGCATGGGGAGGATGGGGAAGTGGAGGCAGGATCACAGACTTTCATTTGAGTGCTCGGCTGGGGTGCCCTGGTGGCCCTGAGGCCCTCCATTGCTAGGAAGATCCAGATCACTCAGGATCATCTCCCCATCTCGAAGTTTAGCTTCATCACATCAGCAGAGTTCCTTTTGCCATGTAAGGTAACATATTCACAGGTTCCGAGGCTCAGGACATGGACATCTTTGGGGGGTCTATTGTTGTGCCTACTATATCCATTAATAATGCTGATAATAAACACTGTGTGTTGGGAGTTTGCCATATCAAATATTCTTCTAAACTCTATTTTATCTCACTGCCTCCTGAAACAATCCTTCCAGGTATATATTGTCCCCATTTTTACAGATGAGAGAACTGAGGCCTGGAAAGGCTAAATGGCTTGCTCAAGTGAATGGCAGACCCAGGTTTTCAAACTCAGGTGTGTCTGACTTCAGAGACTGGGCTCCTGGGCCCTTCAGTCTATTGTTTCTCTTTAGAGAAAGACAACTGAGGCTGAGTGGTGAAGGGATTTATCTAAAGCCACTGGCCACTATGGCAGGACAGATATCAGAATACAGGTCTTCTGATCCCAGCCGAGAGCCTCTTCTCATCATCTACAACTCCTCCTGGTGTCCGTAATGATAACGGCAGTCACTGATGTCTTTCGAGCACTTACTTTGTGTTGGGCACTGTGCTAAGCGTTTGACATCCGTTATCTTAGTTGATCTGCGTAAAAACTCTGTAAGGTAGTGACCAACATTTCTCCCACCTTACAGAGGTGGAAACTGAGGGTTAGGAAGTTTCTTTGACGGTCCTCAAAGTCCACAGCTTGTGAATGGAGGAGCCAGGATGGGCGCCTGCTGGCTCGCCTGTCCCCTCAGTTATGTCACCTTTCCCTGCAGCAGCCCCCTGTCTGGTTAGGTCCTATCTTCACCATGGTGCCCCCTTCATCTGCCTCCTCTTCTGCCTTCCAGCTTCCACATGCAAGAAGTACATGGCCAAGCTGAGGACCACAGTGTCTGCTCAGTCTCGCTTCCTCAGTACCTATGACGGGGCAGAGACGCTCTGCCTGGAGGACATATACACAGAGAATGTCCTGGAGGTCTGGGCGGATGTGGGCATGGCTGGACCCCCGCAGAAGAGCCCGGCCACCCTGGGGCTGGAGGAGCTCTTCAGCACCCCTGGCCACCTCAATGATGATGCGGACACTGTGCTGGTGGTGGGCGAGGCGGGCAGCGGCAAGAGCACACTCCTGCAATGGCTGCACTTGCTGTGGGCTGCAGGGCGAGACTTCCAGGAATTTCTCTTTGTCTTCCCATTCAGCTGCCGGCAGCTGCAGTGCGTGGTCAAACCACTCTCTGTGCGGATGCTACTCTTTGAGCACTGCTGTTGGCCTGACGTTGATCAACAGGACATCTTCCAGTTCCTCCTTGACCACCCTGACCGTGTCCTGCTAACCTTTGATGGCTTTGACGAGTTCAAGTTCAGGTTCACGGACCGCGAACGTCACTGCTCCCCAACAGACCCCACCTCTGTCCAGACCCTGCTCTTTAACCTTCTGCAGGGCAACCTGCTGAAGAATGCCCGCAAGGTGGTGACCAGCCGTCCTGCTGCCGTGTCAGCATTCCTCAGGAAGTACATCCGCACCGAGTTCATCCTCAAGGGCTTCTCTGAAGAGGGCATCGAGCTGTACTTGAAGAAGCGCCATCGTGAGCCTGGAGTGGCGAACCGCCTCATCCGCCTGCTCCAAGCGACCTCAGCCCTGCGTGGTTTGTGCCACCTTCCCGTGTTCTCATGGATGGTGTCCAAATGCCACCAGGAACTATTGCTGCAGGAGGGCGGGTCCCCGAAGACCACTACAGATATGTACCTGCTGATCCTACAGCATTTTCTGCTGCATGCTGTCCCCCCAGACTCAGCCTGCCAGGGTCTGGGACCCAGTCTCCTTCTGGGCCGCCTCCCCACCCTCCTGCGCCTTGGCAGACTTGCTCTCTGGGGCCTGGGCATGTGCTGCTATGTGTTCTCAGTCCAGCAGCTCCAGGCAGCACAGGTCAGCCCTGATGACATTTCTCTTGGCTTCTTGGTGCGTGCCAAAGGTGTCATGCCAGAGAGTATGGCGCCCCTGGAATTCCTGCACATCACTTTCCAGTGCTTCTTTGCTGCGTTCTACCTGGTACTCAGTGCTGACGTGCCGCCAGCCTTGCTCAGACACCTCTTCAATTGTGGCAGGCCAGGCAACTCGCCGATGGACAGGCTCCTGCCCATGCTGTGCATCCAGGGGCCACGGAGGAAGGACGGCAGCGTGGCAGCTTTGCTGCAGAAGACTGAGCCGCACAACCTTCAGATCACGGCAGCCTTCCTGGCAGGGCTGTTGTCCTGGGAACACCGTGGCTTGCTGGCTGAGTGCCAGGCATCTGAGAAGGCCCTGCTCCAGCGCCAGGCCTGTGCCCGCTGGTGTCTGGCCCGCAGCCTCCACAAGCACTTCCACTCCATCCCGCCAGCCGCGCCGGGTGAGGCCAAGAGCATGCACGCCATGCCCAGGTTCCTCTGGCTCATCAGGAGCCTGTACGAGATGCAGGACGAGCGGCTGGCACGGAAGGCTGTACGTGGCCTGAATGTTGGGCACCTCAAGTTGACATTTTGCAGCGTGGGCCCCACTGAGTGTGCTGCCCTGGCCTTCGTGCTGCGGCACCTCCGGCGGCCCGTGGCCCTACAGCTGGACTACAACTCTGTGGGTGACATTGGCGTGGAGCAGCTGCTGCCTTGCCTTGGTGTCTGCAAGGCTCTGTAGTGAGTGTTGCTGGGCATTGCTGTTCGGGCAAGGGGGAGCACCATCAAGGTTAATCATGGGAGCCCCGAGCTGGGATCCAGAAATCTGGGCCCAGCTTTACCTCTTTCACCCTTCTTTGCAACCCTTCCCAGATCCCTTCCCTTCTGGGTCTTAATTTCAATATGTGACAATGACAGCCATACTTTACTGACTGGCATATGTGCTGGGTCTGGTGCTACGCTTTCCAGAATGACCTCATCTAACCTTTACAACCACCTTGGGCTGTAGGCAGGAATGTTATTATCTCCATTATCCTTGACTTGAAGCTCAGAGAAGTGAAGTAACTTGTCCAGGGTCACACAAGAAATGGCAGAGCTGGGTTTCACAAATCACATCTTTCTGATTATAGGTTTCCTGTCCCGCCACCAGTCTGTGGATACACTTCAGGGGCTCCCTGAAAGCCTTGAGGTCATATGCAGAAAGTTTTGTGTAATATGTGTCGGTATCAGGAACGACACCAAATCAGAGGTGACTTGTGCCCCATCAGAGACTTTAACATTCCAGCCAGATGGGAATTTCAGGACCCAAGAGATGGATAGGGGCTGCAGGGTTTCAACCACTCTTGGACTCCTTAGGTAGCACAGTGCCCAAGCAGGATTTCAGCACTACCTGTATTGCTTAGGGCCCCAGCCAAAGATGTCAGGTTTTGCCCTTTGGAGAATCTGTGCTCCTGAACTCAGGGGTCTCTTTGTACATCTTAGGCCTGGGGATTGGACTCCCACGATTCCCCAACAAACTTCCAGCTTTGAAAGGGGAGGCCTTGCTTCTATGTAGAACCTATGAGAAAGCAGAAGTTCTAGATAGAAATTAAGATCTATTCCCAGCTTCCTGGGGCTTTAGGCTACCGCCCCGCCATGACCTTAATTGACCCTCAGCAAGGGACGACCCTCTTCTTGAGAGTATTAGGATGGTATACATCTTCTCTGAGGCAAAGCAATGAAATTTATTTTCCTCCATGGACCAAACACATGGATATCCACTAGAAACTGTGCAGTGATTTTTGTTAACCCTGACATAGGGATGTTGGTCATAAGGTTATAGCAAAATAACAACATAATACATAACGTATATAGCAAATATATATATGTATTCTATGCAATGAATATAAATACGATTATACCCATCATGGTCTTGGAGGAAACAGTTGACACACTTCAAATGGGTGATTCGAGGAGAGTTTAATAAAGAGATTGTTTACAAGCCATGGGCAGGCGTTAGGAAGAGCAAGAGGGTTGGTGCAGGGGCCTGGGATTAGTAACAGCCGGGAGAGGGTAGACCTGAAGGGGCAACGGGAGGGAGGCTAATGAGCTGGGGGGAAGGTATGAAGAGGGCTGCCTGAGATTCTGCAACGTGGAAGAATACAGCTGGCCCCTAACTCCCTTCCTCGATCCTTGCTTCTGGCCAGCGTCTTCCACTGGCTGGACCCATTAGGGAGGCCAAGCGGGCTGCTTGCTGGAGTAGTCCTCAGCCATCAGCCTCCCATGAGCCAGAGACGGGTAGAGAAGTGAGAGAGTGGATGTGGCCAGGCAAATGGAAGACAGCCAGCACCAAACTCTATTTCCCTAGGAGGGAGGATCATGATACTTGAGTGGGAATTTGGAAACCTATCTGTTGGAGCAATTTTCCTGATAGAAATAAGAATGTGCATTTTCCTGGGTAGTAGACTCATAGTTTTTACCCCAAGACGCCAGGCACTCCTGGCCTGTGTGATCCTCATAGGCCAGTGCATCCCTGGACTTCTGGAATGGATCTTCTGTTCTTGGTTAGGGATGTCCATTCCCAGGATGTGCAGAAGGGCTCCGGGAAACCTGTGGGTCTGTCTCTATTTTCAGAGAATGGTGAGGATGGCCTGGTTCTACCTCATGGTGCTCAGTCTGTGGTGTGTAAAGGCACTTGTGGAAGTGCAGATTCCTGGGCCTGCCCCTAGTGATTCCCATTCAGTAGGTTTGGGGTGGTTCCCAGAGCATCTATATTTTTAAGAAACAACCCTGGTGATTCTGATACAAGTGGTCTCACCCTGGGAGAACTGGTCAGCAGCAACCAGCTTGGTTTTCCATTAGCAATTACTGTCCTTGAGCAAGCTCTGCTCCTCACCCTACACACACTACAACTGCCAAGGCCGTAGGGGAGGGGAAGAAGCCATGAGGTTGCTGTGAGTGCACTGTGTGTGTGTGTGTGTGTGTGTGTGTGTGTGTGTGTGTGAGAGAGAGAGAGAGAGAGGAAGGGAGGAAGGGGGAGGGCTCTCCCACAGTGCCAACCTGTCTTTCTCCCACTTGAAGTGTTTCCATGCCAACCGAGATCCTCAGCCTCTAGGAAACCCCATATACACAGTGCCCCTGTATAGGTTTCTTTAGATTCTGGCTCTCTCTGACTCCAGAGTGATGGGTTTCAAAGTTTTTTGGCTGTGACCCACAATGACTGAGAGAGAGATAGAGAGACAGAGAGAGAGCGCCCCCACCACCATGTAAACGTTAAACCAAAGCTTCATGAAATGACTTTGCTCTGTGAACTCTGATGCCCTGTGCTCTCTTCTGTTCTGTTCAATCTGTATTTTAGAAATGCTTCTCAGGACCTCAAAACGGTTTGCATGTCCCACAACCTGCAGTCTAAAAAATCACTGCTCTAGAGAAGTGGCCGTAAGAGGCCCTAAGGGGGAAGCTGCACCATGTCAGGGATAGGAGTGGGGCTTGGAGCCAAGTTGCCTGGGCTCAAAGCCTTTATGTGCTGTGCTTCCTTGGCAAAGTCACTTCACTTGTCTGTGCCTCAGTTTCTTTCTCACAAATGCACAAAATAATGGTACCCACTTCACTGGCTTGTCGTGAGGATTAAATTGGGCAGTGCTAAGGATAGGGACCAGGGCTAGCGATCACGATTCTAGGTTACTTTTACCATGTACCAGGTGCTCACAAGGCTTTATATACACAGCCTGGTGAGGCTGATAATACCATTACCACAGATGAAGACACCAACAGATAACTAGGAAGTGGCTGAGCAGGGTCACAATATCCAGCTGAGGCACTCCAGAGCCTGAGCTGTTAATCATTCAGTCAGGGCCTCCCAGGTTTGCCTGAAGGTAAAGAATCACGTGCACAGTTGTTAAAATATACAGATCCCTGGGCCCCACCACACACATACTGGATCACCAGCTCTGAGAGAATCTGTATTTTAGGGAAGCTTTCAGATGAACTTGTGATCAGGTGAGTTTTGGGAATGGTGCCCCAAGAGGAGTGGCAGGCCAGGCTTGCTGGGCAGGGACTGGCCTGCGGGAGTGGTATCACTGGGGTTAAGGACTGGGCACTAGCCACAGCCTGCCTGCCTGTTTCCAAGATTTGTGGCCAGTCTCATCCAGCTGGTCTACCGTCTGCTGGCTTAGATGATGGTAAATTTTTCCAGGGGTAGCCTGTCTAGCTCAGGCTGTACCTTTCCTATATATCAGCTCCTTTCCACCATCGTCCCCTTTGTGAGGCTGCTGTGATTATCATGTTCCTTTTGCAGAGATGGAAACATTGCTTCCAATTAGCTCTGTGATTTCCTTAGGATTCCAGGGTTCTTTAGTGGTGGATCTGGGCCCTACGTCCTGGACTGTCTCTGTCATAGTGCACCATACCATGTCACCCACCCTGCCAGGGACCTTGGGGTCTCCACTTTTTTGGGGTGCTCCATTTTTGCAGGGTTTCCTGGAAGCACAGATGCTGGCACTTCAGGGATGAATGAAAGTCTTTTTTGTAGATTTTTTATAGATTTGTAGATTTTTTTTTCTTGTCTTTCCAGCTCCGTTTTCAAATGTATTTGTCTTGTCTCTTTTAGTTTACGTGATAACAATATCTCAGACCGAGGCATCTGCAAGCTCATTGAACATGCTCTTCACTGCGAGCCATTGCAGAAGTTAGCGTAAGTCAACCTGGGCTGCGGACACTGGGCCCCAAGTCCCTTGGTCTCACCCCAGGTCATGCAGCCTGGGTAGCTGTGAGTGATGGGCTGGGGCAGGGGCTGTTTGCATGATGGGGTTGCAGGTAATTCCTGCTCAGAGGGGAAGGGCAACCCTGGGGTTGGGTGCTCCCTGTCCAATGTGCTTTGCTTCTGTGTCTCTGAACAGTCTGTTCAACAACAAATTGACTGATGGCTGTGCACACTCCATGGCTAAGCTCCTTGCATGCAAGCAGAACTTCTTGGCATTGAGGTGAGCCCAAGTTTTCCTTATTCCCTGGAAACTCTTTTTTGCCCCACAGCTGAGTCAGTCTGGTCTGGTCTTGGGCTGGCGCTGCCCACACTGGCTGCTGACCTCCTTACTGAATGTAGGGGCAGTGTGTCATTTTGAGCAGGGGTTCTCTCTAATGCCATCATCTCCCCTGTAAACTCTGGACTAGCCCTGATGAGGGCTTCCTGTCTTTTGACCTTTAACCCATAGGGCAAAAATGGTTTTCTAGTCCCCTTTCCTTTTCTGTGTCTAAGAGTGTCACAGCTCTCTGGGGTGACTGAGTTCCATAATGCATGTTCAGCTTGTCTCACTGGGGAAGGCATACACAGTTACTTGCCACCCCAGCTGTGGCAGCACTCCCAGAAGGTCCTTTCCCCATTCAGAGCATGCAAGGTTTGCAGTGTCATCTGGGTCTGCATTTCTGCTGCTCCAGTGTCTCCCAGTTTCAACTGGAGTCTCTCTCTCCTACCTGGTACTGTTAAATTGCCCCTCTAGCTGGCCCCTGGGTTGGCCTGGCTCTCTCTCTCTCTCTCTCTCTCTCTCTCTCTCTCTTTCCTGGATATTCTTGCCTCCTGTGATTTGCGAGGTAGTAAAAGAAGACAAGTTAAAAATTGCTTCCCTCTATTCTTTTACCTCGTGGGCTGGATTTGTGGATGGAAGCTGCCATCTTAAAATGGCTGGCCACATAGCTCAGTCTCGGCAAGGGCTACTGAGATCAGGACCACAGGTGCCAATCTGTATATTTGTACAAAGGACTCTGTCAGACTCACAAGCCTGGAATAGGCTGTGGCCAGATGTGGCTGACCCGTCCCGAGAAGGGTGCTAGTTTCACAAATGGAGGCTGTTTGTGGCCAACACAGTAGTCCTCTGTTATGTGCAGGAGAGACATTCTAAGGCCCCAGTGGATGCCTGAAACCAAGGAGAGGACCAAGCCCTACACATACCATGCTTTTTCCTATACGTACACACCTGCGATAAAGTGTCATTTACAAATTAGACACTGTAAGAAAGTAACAGCAACTCATAATAGAACAGTTATAGCAATATACTATAATAAAAACTATGTGAATGTGGTCTCTCTCCGTCTCTCTCAAAATACCTTCTTGTACTCTACTCACCCTTCTTCTTCTTGGGAAGATGTGGGAGGTAAAGTGCCTGTGTGACGGAAGGAAATGAGGTGGGTGGCGCGGCACTGCGAACTTGCGCTGGGCTGCTGTTGACCTGACCACACGTCAGGAGGAGAATCATCTGCTCCCGGAGATCCTGAATCTTTGAGCCCTGTGAGGTCAGTGGTTGGCCATCAGGAGCAGATAATGTTGACTACTTAGTGGGAGCATACAGGGTGTGGATACGCTGGACAGGGGGCTGATTCACGTCCTGAGCGGGATGGAGCTGGATGGTGCGTCATCAGAATAGCATGCAATTTAAAATGTATGAATTGTTTATCCCTAGAATTTTCCATATAATATTTTTGGAATGCAGTTGATTTCAGATAACTGAAACCATAGAAGATGAAGCTGCGGATAAGCAGGGGGCGGGGGACTACCGTATATCATTGTAATTCAGAGCACGAGCTCTGGAGTCAGACTGCCTGAGGTTTCAACCCTCGTTAGCTGCATGACCTCAGGTCAGCCCAATGTCTGTGTGCCTCCGTTTCCTCTTCTGTAGAATGGGGGTAATAACCATGGCTACCTCGCTGGCTGTAGTGATGAGCAAGAGAGTTAATCCACATGAAGGACTGCACCGTCTGGCAGGGGCTTTATATAGTAAACGAGTGGCTGCAAGATGCTGGGTAAATCACACAAGCACTCAGCTTGTTTCTCCTTATGTGAGTCCAGTCCTCCAAGCAGGGATCTGATGTGCCACACATTTATCGGGGAAAATTCCTATGAGGGGAAGTGGAGAAGGGAGCTGGGGGAGCCTGGGGGGTGTGTCCCTGAGTGAAGGAGAGAGGGAACGAAGGAAGGTTAAGACGGGGAACCTTGGACTTCAGGGCAGTCCTAAGACATTTAGGCAAGGTTGATGAAGAGTTCTTGAGCCAAGTACACCTGGCGGGGGAGCCTGGTGTCTCAGGCAGGGGCTGGCAAGCAGCCTTGGTGCCACACCAGGACATTAGATATTGGAGCACAGCAGCTGAGGCCCTTGGCTACCTTCAGGGAGCTGAGGCTGGAGACCTGAAAGGCGAGTTCTCCTACCTGCCACACCCTTCTCCAAGGGTGCAATAATACCAGCCGCATAGGATTGTTGTGAGCTGAGTGGCTTGAAGTTCCTTGAAAGGATGAAAGCCTATTGTTACCCCAGGAAGCCTGGGGTTCAGGTGAGCTCTGGGGCTTCTCTGAAGCATTTCGAGGTGTCTGGATTTGCTTGTAGCAGGAGGCTTCCTTGCTGCAATCTTCCCTGACCCCTAGCCTTGGCCTTCCCTCCCCCCTTCCCTCCTGGAAGGCTCAGTGGGCTCCCCTCCTCTCCCCCAGCCACGTGGACCTGCCCAAGCCTCTTGTTCAACAGGTAAAACCTACGTGAAGCAACAGCAGATCTGGGAAGGCTGCAGAGGGCACAGTGGGGTCTGGATCAAGAGTGGCTGAGACCGCAGGGAAAGGTGTGAAAGCTGAGTCACCCTTGCTGTCCTGGGGAAACCACCTCCCAGGACAACTCCCTACTGTGGCTCCTGCCCGGAGCTGTCATGCTGCTGTGCAAAATGGTGTGCTTCCATCACTTTCCCTTTGCTGGGGGAAAACGCAGTCATGGGAGCCACTGAGTAAACTGGACTGAGCAGCGAGGGCACCTGCTATGGCTGCTGCCTCTTGGGCAGGTCCTCAAAGCTTTCTTTCTGCCAGGACGCAGACGGCCAGCCCTCCTCATCTGGTTGCCGCTGTGTTCCCCCAGCCTCCTCTGTCTTCCCTTCCAGGCTGGGGAATAACCACATCACCGCTGCGGGAGCCCAAGTGCTGGCCGAGGGGCTCCGAGGCAACACCTCCTTGCAGTTCCTGGGGTAGGTTGGATTCCAGGAAGAGGGACCTGCATGGAGGGGCTTGGGACTTTTGAGGATTTAGGGGCAGGTGAAACTCTTCAGCCAGGAGGCCTGGGGGCAGTACAGCTCCAGTTGAAGGATGAGCCAGGGAGAGAGTGGGCGGCTCTTGACTGCTGTCTTGACATTTGCTGTATGCGTGACAAACAGGATGTTTGGGATGTTGGGGTTGGGGGAGGGCATTGCCCATGAGCTGGTGACAGGAAGCCCTCTGGTCCTCAGGGTGTGCTAGGGCTGTACATTGGCTGCATATTAAAACCACTTGGGAGCTTCTAAACACTATTGCCAGGCGCCCTCCCCCCCCACCCCAGACTGATGAAATGCAAATATCTAGGTGCAGGGCCCAGGTATCAGGAGTTTTAAAGAGCTTCCCAGGGGATGTGCCGCCATGAGTGAGGACCCCTGACCTAAGAAAGAGAAGGAAATGGGGAAGAATAGGAAGGCACCCAGGATGGGAGGGGCTGTGCTAGGTCGCTCAGAGCTCTTGCTCCCTGTAGGACCATGCTAGGGCCTACCAGGGAGGGGAGTACCCCAGACGGTAGCCCCAGGGCAGGCTTCCTCTCTTTGCTAGGCACCCAGGCTTGCACCCATGCTGTTCCCAGCAGCCGCTCTCCTATCCTGTCCTGCCCTACAGTAAACTGGGGTCCATTTGACAAGAACTGAGGGCTTGAGAACCTGGGCCTGTAGGAAGAGAGAATAACCTTAGGGCTTAGGTGTTCCAGCCCATTTCACAGGGAGGCAAGTTGCTGCCAAGTTGTGTTTTTTTGTTTTTGTTTTTGTTTTGAGACAGAATCTCACTCTGTCACCCAGGCTGGAGTGCAATGGCGCGATCTTGGCTCACTGCAACCTCTACCTCCATGGTTCAAGCAATTCTCCTGCCTCAGCTTCCCAAGTAGCTGGGATTACAGGCACCCACCACCATGCCCAACTGATTTTTGTATGTTTTAGTAGAGACAGGTTTTCGCCATGTTGGCCAGGTTGGTCTTGAAATTCCGACCTCAGGTGATCCGCCAGCCTTGGCCTCCCAAAGTGCTGGGTTTACAGGCATGAGCCACGGTGCCCGGCCCCCAAGCTCAGTTTGAGCCACGAATGGAACTTTGTGGCTCTAGACATCAGCGTCTTTTTCACACTGCATTAGTAGCAACAGAGTCTGGAATAAAGGAGGCCACAGCCCCACTGAGCTCTCTTTTACTTGAAGTCACATCTGCCACATTGGGGATATCTACCTCTTTCAACACATATTTATTAGGCTACCTGTCTGGGCCAGGCACTGTGCTAAAACCTTCAAACACTGTCTTTTGATACAAAGTGTTCTGTAACTTGCTTGCCTGTTTAAATTTTATTTTATTTTATTTTTTGCTTCACAGTATATTATAGGAAATTTTTTAGGTCGTTATGACTCCTTACTTACTTATTTATTTATTTTATTAATATTTACAGACAGGGTCTCACTCTGTCACCCCAGCTGGAGTACCGTGGTTGCAATCACAGCTCATTGTAGCCCTGCACTCCTGAGCTCAAGCGGTCCTCCTGTCTCAGCCTCCTGAGTAGCTGGGACTACAGGCACACACCACCATGCCTGGCCAATATTTTTGTGTTTTGTAGAGACGGGGTCTCACTGTGTTGCCCAGGCTGGTCTCAAACTCCTGGACTCAAGTGATCCTCTCTCCTCTCTCCTTGAGCGCCTAAAGTGCTAAGATTATACATGTGAGCCACCTCTCAGCCTGACCACATTTTTTAAAGAGTGCACAGTTACATAATCTATTTAACTGCTTAGCTTTTGAAGACTATTGTTCTCAGGTTTTTTGCTATTACAGTGCCATATCCCTGGGACACAGAGCAGTGCTGGCACATAGCCAGAGCTCAGTAAAGAAGTACCTGGTGGATGAAAGTGCCGGTCGGGCGTGGTGACTCATGCCTGTAACCCCAAACCCTTGGGAGGCTGAGGTGGGCAGATCACAAGGTCAGGAGTTTGAGACCACCAGCCTGGTCAATGGAGTGAAACCCCAACTCTACTAAAAATAAAAGAATTAGCCAGGGGTGGTGGCAGGCTACTTGGGAGGCTGAGGCAGGAGAATCGCTTGAACCTGGGAGGCGGAGGTTGCAGTGAGCCGAGATCATGCCACTACACTGTAGCCTGGGCAACAAAGTGAGACTCCATCCAAAAAAAGAAAAAAAAGAAAAGAAAAGAAAGTGCAGTGGACTTCCTAGTTCAGCTGCCCCTTGCTAACTTGTGCACATACCTGTCCAGGGTAGGTCTCTAATCGATGAGTCAGAAGGTATGAGTTGGGCTTTACCTTTTGGAAAGGGATGGTTTTGAACTACAGTGAGTCAGAGGAGGATGGCCCAGAAGCTGAGGGAGTTTGACATGAAGGAATTGGCGGTGTTAGGAAGAAGCAGGAGAGAGAGCTGGCTTGCAGAAGAAACATTAGACTTGTTCTGGGCAGGTACTGAGGGTAGCTAAGGACTTGTGGGTGGCAGTTACTGGGAAGTAGATCTGAACTAAGTGTCAGAAAAAGTGTCATAAGTGTAAATTACTCTTGTCAGTTAGTTCCTGTCCTTAGGGGTTTGGGCTGGGTAGGCATCTACTGTTCTCTAAGTCTGTAATGTAAAACCAATGAAAACTCTTGGTGAAGTTTGGCCATCCTACCCAAAAGATGGAGGCAGGTTCACTTTGCTGAGACCAGCAGCCCCAGTGAGGCCACTCTGGGATTGAGTGGTCCTGCCCCTCTGGCTGGGACTGCAGAGAGAGGAGGACTGTTAGTTCATGTCCAAAACACATATCAAGCACTCACTGACACTGTGTGTTGATTCTTTTGGCCTTTTCAGGTTCTGGGGCAACAGAGTGGGTGATGAGGGCGCCCAGGCCCTGGCTGAAGCCTTGAGTGATCACCAGAGCTTGAGGTGGCTCAGGTAAGCTTCAGAGCCTATTCTGTAATTTTCATGGGGAGACCAGATGAAGAGGGAGGAGCTGGGGCCAATTTTGATGGTCTTTGAACTTTATTTCTACCCCACAATGTTAGGCAATGGAGTAAGCAAAAGAGACCATTGGATTTCAAGACAGAACACTGGAGTCTTTCTGGGTGACTTTGGAAATGTCCCTGTCTTCTCAGGGTTTTGATTCATTATCTGTAACTTGAAGATCTTGGGGTGGATCAGGTACATTTTATCTTAAGGACCAATTCCAATCATTGGTAGTAGCTGCACAGTGCACCACAATGAGAAGAATTCTAAAGCTGCACCTGGGCTTAAAGGGCACTGTAATCAATTAGGGATGTCTAAAAAAAAAAAAAAAAAAAAAAAAAAAAAAAAAAAAAAAAAAAAAAAAAAAAAAAAAAAAAAGGCAGTGCAATCAATTAGTGATGTCTTAAAAGGATAAAAACAGAAAAGAGCACAGCAATCAATTAGTAATGTCTGAAATGGAGCAGACCAGGAGGGTGCCATGAATTTTGCCCTCCATAGGTTAGCTTATCTCCGAGGTTCTTCCCTGTTCTGACATGTTTTTTTTTTCCATGATTATCTCCAGCCTGGTGGGGAACAACATTGGCAGTGTGGGTGCTCAAGCCTTAGCACTGATGCTGGCAAAGAACGTCATGCTAGAAGAACTCTGGTGAGTTTGGGGAATTCTCTGTTCTGGGGAGATGGATCACAATCTTTGTTGATCCCCTGGCCTTATCCACAGGAACAGTTGTGTGGGTAGACAAAGGTGGATGATTGATTGATTCACTGTTTGATCGTGTTTGTCTTTATATGTACTGAGTGATATGAAGCTTATAGAGCCTGGTATGTACATGCTAATTTTTTAATTTAATAAATATTGGTTTTCTGATTTGATGACTGCCTCCACATGGCATAAATGTTAAGAGCACAGACTCTGGAATCAAGCAGGCTGTGATCTTAGGCAAGTTAAATAACAATTTCAGAATCTCAAGTTTCATATCTGTAAAATGAGGGTAAGAATACTTCCAACTATAAAAGATTTTTGCAAGAATTAGATAAGGTAGTGCCTGCGAAGACCTTAACATAGTGCCTGGCATATTTTTACATGCTCCTTAAATGTTAAATTAGAATAGTGGCAGGGTTACTACCACTATTACAGCCGCTGCTGCTGCTACAACTACTCGTACTGTGACTACCACTAATAATAAAGTTTTGTTATTTTAAAGTGAATTTGAGTTCCCAAGAGCACTGGGTATTAGAGTCAGGGGTCACTGTGGAAGGTGGAATGGAGTTTTGATAGTTGAAAGAGGAACCATGAATTGTACTTATGCTATTGACCTGAAGCAGATTCTACATTTCCCATCCTTTAGATACCACAACTATCGTCTTCTGACATGTTCTGGGCAGTTTCAGATTATATCAGGGAGATAAAATGCTGCATGTTTGATTTTCCCTGGAAGCAGAAAGGCACTGCAGCATATGGGCATTGCCATAAGCAGATTTTGTAGATGGACCTCGGCTGCGGCAGGGCTTAGTAGCTCTACTAAAGTGTGATTGATTCTATCCTGATTGGATTTTGCTACTTGGAATTTCTTAGTAGAGGAAAACCTTATTGTGAGCATCAGTTATGATTACTGTTAAAAGAAAAACTTTAGGCAAATTAAATTTAGCAGAGCTGGTTTGAGCATATAGCAGTTTATGAATTGGGCAGCATTCAGAACTGGGAGATCTCCACTCAGCAAGGTGGGGGCAAGCAGTATCTATGGACAGGAAAAGGAAGTGATGTACAGAAACAGCTTGATTGGTTGCAGCTGGGCATTTGCCATATTTGGACATGGTGTGATAAGGTATTTGCCTTATCTGGACACAGTCTGATCAGCTGGTAGGCTGTGACTGACTGAAGCCTGGCTGCTGTGATTGGCTGACACTTAGCTGTTTGTTATAAGAATATATTGTTTGGTTGCAGTTTGCCACACAGAAACTCAAAGTATGGAGTTGGTCTCAGGCCAAATTTAGTTTAGCTCTATGTGAAGCTGCAGGTGACAGAATACCTCTGTCTACAGAGGTTTAAACATGGAAAGGGTTTATTTTTTCCTGTATAGGCAGCTGGAGGTAGGCAGTGTAGGGCTTGTATAGTAGCTGCAAGAGGCCAGAAGAGGTCTCAGCTCTGTCTCATTCTCTTTCTGCTCCATCATCCTTAGCCTGTGACTTTATTCTCATGGTTGGTTGCCTCATGATCACAGGATGGCTGCTCCAGCTGCAGCACTACTTCTGTATTCCAGGATTCAGTCTGTATACCTAGGAAAGCCATCTGGGTTTCTCTCTTTTAAAAAGCCTTCCTGGAAGCCCCACCTGTCAACTTCCCCTTATGTATCAACCACGTGTATGTCACTTGACCAACCCACATGTATGTTGTTTGACCAACCCTGGCTGCAATGGAGAGTGGGAAATGTAGTATTTTCACCAAGGGTATGGCTGTTCAAATGAAATGAGACTCCATTAATAAGGGAGAAAGAAAAGATGGATATTGGGGAGCTGGGGGATGAGGGAACTTATTACATAGTGGAGCCCTTGGCGTGAATTCTCTTGCAAATATGTCCCTGGAATTGAGAATCCCCACACAGTACTTTATCTGTTCTTTGTTTATTCATAAGTTTGGGTTTTCAGATGTTGGATTTCCTGTATGGAGGGCATGTGAGTTAATCTTTATTGACATCATCTTCCATAATCAACATTATCGTATCAGCTGGATTTTCTTTCTTGTTCTCACAGCCTGGAGGAGAACCATCTCCAGGATGCAGGTGTATGTTCTCTCGCAGAAGGACTGAAGAGAAATTCAAGTTTGAAAATCCTGAAGTAAGGAACCTATAAGCAGGAGCCAGGACAATAATTGCTGGCCTTTGGAAGGGGCATTTCTGAATCAGATCTGGGCAGCTCCCAGCTGGGGTAAATTCACACGAGGGGGCCTGCCTTGGCCTTGGTGGACAAGGATTCCAGTGCAAGTTGTTTATCTGGGAGATGGTCCCAGCAAATGCTGATAGGAGAGTGGTGTAGTGAGACGGGGAAGCGAAGATACCAGGAAAGGGTAGTTATCAAACCCGTTATCACTGAGTGAAATTGGAGCTCAGTACTCTGGGGCACTCCTGGAGCCAGTGCAGAACACACCTGGTCACCTACCCAACCAATGGGTAAGGAAGTCCTGGTATTTATCTACCAACCACCTATCCTTCCTGTATTGATGTGTGCTCATGGGGCGCTGATTCTCCAGCACTTCCAGCTCAACCTCACCCAGCTGAACATGTTTTTGGGGTCAGGAGAATGGCCTCAGGCAGAGAGTGGCAGGTCTTCTCCACAAGCAGTGGCTGGGAAGGTGATATGGTGGGGACCACTGTAGCCTCCTCCAGTGTCTGACTCAGTGGCTTGGGACCCGTGCCACAAAGAGATGGACAGCGGAGTTGAACATGAACCCACCTAGTGACCATCATGGGCTTGTCGGGGTGCTCTCTGAGGCTGATGCCAAAATTCTTATTTCAAGGAGACCTCAGGAACCCCATCAGATGGCTCCTTTTGCTGGAGGAAAGTGGCATCTGCCTTGGCAAATATGGCCCTAGGAAAACACTTCCTTTAGAGATAGACAGACAGCTGCCTCTGTGAGTGCCAGCTTTGCTGCCAGGCTGCCATCCACTCTGGTGATGCTTGTTTGTGTTGCTTTCTTTCACAAGCTAGGAAGTTTCCAAATATTTGGAGAAAACACTTCCACTAATCATTTGGGTGGAAGTGGGCTGGGAAGTTGGGGTGAAGCCCATATGTGTCTGCGCCAGATGCCAGCTTTGCACTGAGGGTGGGCCTTTGGGAACACCAGGCCCATTATCAACCCAGTATGGATATGGCAGTTTGTCTTCCCGCCTTGTCACAGCCTTACCCCACTTGACTCTGGTGGATGCCAGGCAATGAGGCTGGGGTTGTCCCATGGCACTCTGTCATCAGCCTTATTATTCTGCATCCTGAACTATATCATCCCCCACAAAAATTGAACTTATATCTTTTTTAAAAAAGAGAGATACCTGCATCTTTCTTTTTCAGGCTTAGTTTCTGCCGACAGTTGGTTAAGAGTCCAGGCCCTGGAACTAGGCAGCCTGGGTCTTGCCCTAGCTCCACCATTACCAGCTGGTTCTCCTTGGATGAGTGCCTCAGTTGCCTCAAGTGTAAATGGAGATAATGGCTGGACCTTCATTATAGGCCGTGAGCATTCACTGAGGGAATGTAGGTAACAAAAGTAAGTTGTAGGTTAGAGCAAAAGTAATTGTGGTTTGCAACCATGAATTTTAAATCATTATGAAGAGTTTAAATCATTATAACTAAAGTGCTTCTTTATTAATGAAAATAGGAACCATTACAACCAACACATTTTTTGCAAATAAGAAATAAGTTTGTTTATTCCTGTAGCATAAAAATTCATGCTTCGGGATTCGACGAACTCTTGGAAAGTATTTTCTGCTTCCTGCTGATTGTGGGAGCATTTTCCCTGCAAAAAGTTGTCGAGATGCTTGAAGAAGTGGTAGTCAGTTGGTGAAAGGTCAGGTGAATATGGTGGATGAGGCAAAACTTCATAGTCCAATTGTGCGATGTGTGGTCAAGTGTTGTTGTGGAGAAGAACTGGGTCCTTTCTGTTGACCAATGCCGGCTGCAGGTCTTGCAGTTTTTGGTGTATCTCATTGACTTGCTGAGCATACTTCTCAGATTTCTTGGTTTCACTGGGATTCAGAAAGCTGTAGTGGATCAAACCAGCAGCAGACCACCAAACGGTGCCCAGGACCTTTTTGTTGGCACAAGTTTGGCTTTTGAAAGTGCTTTGGAGCCTCTTCTTGGTCCAACCACTGAGCTGATCAATGCCAGGTGTATGAAATCCACTTTTCATCACACGTCACAATCAGAACAAGAAATGGTTTGTTGTTGTTGCATGGAATAAGAGAAGACGAGGCTTCAAAATGACAATTTTATTGATTTTCACTCAGCTCATGAGGCACCTACTTATCAATCTTCTTCACCTTTCCAATTTGCTTCAAATGCTGAATGACCATGAAATGGTGGACGTTGAGTTCTCAAGTAAGAAGATCACGTTTAGTTGTAAGATCTCAAGTAAGATCAATGTTGAGTTATAAGAAGATTGGCTTTGATGATTGCTCTCAATTGTCTACTTCTGATGGCTGGTCAGTATGCTCCTCATCTTGAAGGCTCTCCTCTCCTTTGCAAAACTTCTTGAACCACCACTGCGCTGTACGTTCATTAGCAGTTCTTGGGCCAAATGGGTTGTTGATGTTGCGAGTTCTCTCTGATGCTTTATGACCCACTTTGAACTCGAGGAAGAAAATTGCTTGAATTTGCTTTTTGTCTAACATCAGTTCCATAGTCTAAAATAAATATAAAATAAGCAGCAAGTAGTAAGTCATTAGAAAAAAATAAAACAAGGAATGTGCATTAAAATGATGTATAACATAACCACATTTATTTAAGAATGTATTCCAATATCAAACAGCAAATTTCAACAATGCAAAAACTGCAGTTATGTTTGCACCAACCTGATAGAAGCTCAACAAATACTGGCTATTATGGTTAGTGTTGCCTTGTGGTCAGCTTGTAAGACATTACTAAGATTGTGGGAAAGGGGGAAAACCTGGAGTGGACATTATTAGGCAAAGCTATAAGCAGAAGAGCAACATGGGAAACATGTGACTCCTTTGTTGCTGTGTCTGGCCCTATCCTATCTCCCCTCCCTGTTGCCAGCTACCTCATATGTTCTCTGATCTCTGTCTCTGTGCCCTCAAAGACTCTCCTGAAAATGGAAATACTACTGCTCATTGGTTATTTTCTATCAATTAAGTACAGTATTTGTCTGTTTTCATGCTGATGATAAAGACATACCCAAGACTGGGCACTTTATGAAAGAAAGAGGTTTATTGGACTTAACAGTTCCACATGGCTAGGGAGGCCTCACAAGCATGGCAGAATTTGAAAGGCACATCTCACATGGTGGCAGACAAGAGAAAACAACTTGTGCAGGGAAACTCCCCTTTTTAAAACCATCAGATCTCATGGAACTTATTTACTATAATTAGGACAGCATGGGATTCAATTACCTTCCACCTGGTCCCTCCCACAACATGTGGGAATTCAACATGAGATTTGGGTGGGGACACAGCCAAACCATGCCAAGTACTGTGTAAGTGTTTTAGGTATGCAGAGAGTGGAGGGTCTTCCCAGCAAGCAGAGTGTGGGGAGAGGATGGGGGCACTGGTGGCTGACTTAGTGGCCAGGGATTTGCACCAAAAGGAGATGGATGACAGATGTGAACAGGAGCCTGCTTATGGCCATCACAATTTCAGTTCTTATGCTCAATGACATGGGTTCTCTTTTAGGCCCATTTTACCAATGAGGAAATTGGGACTAATTTGCTTGAGAGCAAAATGGAAGTGGTGTAGATGAGATTTAAACCCAGGAAGTCTACCACTAAAATGCAGATACTTAACCAGTATCCTAAGGGAGTGGCTACTTAAGTTGATAAACTCATCTGGTGAATGGAAGAGAGATGGGTACATTTCGCTGAAGTTACTGAGCCTTTGTTGTTGAGCTCATTGGGAATCTCAGACATGAGTGGGGTATGTCTAGCGGACAGGTGGGCTTCAGTAGGCTGGCTAACTCCTAAAGTCTCTTTAACTGGACAGTTTCAAGAGGAAAACCAAGAATCCTTGAAGCTCACCATTCTATCTTCTTCTCCAGGTTGTCCAACAACTGCATCACCTACCTAGGGGCAGAAGCCCTCCTGCAGGCCCTTGAAAGGAATGACACCATCCTGGAAGTCTGGTAAGGCCCCGGGCAGGCCTATTGTAGCTCTCCAAGCCTCAGTTTTCCTATCTGTAAAATGGGGTGACGGGAGAGAGGAATGGCAGAATTTCAAGGATCCCTTCTGATTCTGACATTCAGTGAGAATGATTCTGCATGTGAAGGATCTGGTTGTCTGTCTAAGAAAGAAGTCTTTACATCTTTAAGTAGGGAGCAATTGTTTCATTTTTAAACCTTGACTATGTATTCAGCTACTTCTCTGTTCTATGAGATAGTGTAGGAATGGAGATGTGGCTGAAGAATGAAAAGGCAGCTCCTGCCCTCCTGGGAACTGCATCTGCCTTCACAGGTCAAGGATATTGTATCAGACTTTCTGTGGTTCTGAATGGAGCTTGCAAAGGTGAGGGACAGGTTGCACAGTGCATCCAATTCTCTATATTTAAAGCTGTAGTCCTTCATGTATTTGAAAAAGGCAAGAATCACATTCTTGATAGATTCTGTTGTTGCCTTAAAAAGAATGACCAGCCTTGGGGAGTCTGGGCAGCTGGGTCCAGTGTTGTGGACTCTCTCTGCTGAGTCACAGCTTTAAAGATTTGTCCTTCTTGTTTCCAGGGATCTATTTCTCAGACCATAAGTAAAGGTTTTCCCTGGCCTAATGTGCTGTAAGTGAATGTTACTATGTGTGTTCCAGACACTGGGCTAGAGATTAATATTTAAAAGCCAGGAATTTTCCTACTAAAAATCTATATCTGAGGGTTTTCTCAAAAGAGGTTGGAACTTTGGATGCCCATTCATGATGCCAGTGGTTAACCAGAGCACAAAAAAGGCTGAGTCTTCTCAGATGGGCAAACCCACTTTGGCTGACTGCAGATCCATCAAGCCTATTGCCTTAGACCAGAACTCTTCGGCAATTCATTTCTGTAAGCTTGTGACCCCTGCTTTAAATATGCAGGCCTTGTTCCCTCTCAAAAAGCATATTGAGGCTGCAGCAAATGCAGATTATCAAATGAAGCTAAAAACAAAAGCCTTGCCGGGCATGGCAGCTCATGCCTGTAATCCCAGCACTTTGGGAGGCTGAGGCAGGAGGATCACTTGAGGCCAGATGTTCAATACCAGACCTCGTTTCTTAAAAAATAAAAAATTCAGCTGGGTGCGGTATAGTTCCTAACTACTCAGGAGGCTTGGATGGAAGGATCCCTTGAAGCCGGGAGTTCAAGGCTGCAGTGAGCCATGATTGCAGCACTGCACGGGTGACAGAATTAGATCCCAGCTCTTAAAAAAATAAACATTTTGAAAATGACTTCAAATATCTGTGCTGTGATGGAGAGATTTTTCCTTCCTACACAGATATGATTGTGACATATCTGTAGCCTATGAGGTCATCAGGTTCTGGGTAGAGTGTAGGTTTTCTGTTTCTTTGTTTTTGAAACCATTGCACAGTCCTAAGAAGTGTCGCATTCTGTGTCCTGGGCACCAGCCAACATCAGGTTGATATTTTAAGGGTTCTGATGTTATTTGCTGCCTGCTGATGGAACTTGGGAGGGCACCAGGGTTTGCTCATTGCATTCTTGACAGATTCTCTTGTTGCCTTAAAAAGAATCACCGGCCTTGGGGAGTCTGTGGCTGGCTGGGGGCAGTGTGGTGGACTGTCTCTCTGCAGAGTCATGGAGCCTTGTTCAGAATGATTCATGAACTGCCCTGGTTGACCGAAGGTAAAAACAGCCCCGGCTTCCCTGCAAGAGACACTGCAGCTGGGCCAAAGGGTCAGCCCATCCCAGGCGTGGGTTTAGAAAGTGGAGGCTTCTGTTTGAAAGCCCTGCTCTAATTTCGTCCTCACTCCAACCTCTCTTCACTTGATCTCCTTTAGGCTCCGAGGGAACACTTTCTCTCTAGAGGAGGTTGACATGCTCAGCTGCAGGGACACCAGACTCTTGCTTTGAAGTCTCCGGGCAGATGTTCACCTCAGTGTGTTTGTTAGCAAGCTGTGAGTTTGGGCCTCAGAAGCTGAGTGACATCTGTTGTCAGCCTTCAAAATGAGCCCTGTCCTGCCGAAGGCTGAACTTGTTTTCGGTGAACACCATAGATCACCTTTATTCTGGCAGAGGAAGGAGCATCAGTGCCTTCCAGGATAGACTTTTCCCAAGCCTATTTTTGCCATTGACTTCTTCCCAAGATTCAATCCCAGGATGTACAAGAGGGGCAGCCCCTTCCCCGTGGTATTGGGCTGGTCCCTGCTGATCCTCCCGGGTTCCCATGCGGGTCAGTGAGGCCCATGGATGTGCCTGTTAACAGAGTGCCTGTTGGTGGAGAGACCTGGACTCTCACGGAAGACCTCTTCCCACTGCTTTGATGAAGAGTACACAGAACACATAATTCAGGAAGCAACTTTCCCCATGTCTTGGCTCATCCACGCAGGACGTTCTCCACCTTGGGTTCCTCCCCTCCTCCTGGACTCCTGCACACACTCCTTCCTCTGAGGTTGAAATTCAGAATATATTAGTGACCTCAGCTTTGATATTTCACTTATAGCACCTGCAACCCTGGCACCCAGGGTGGGAAGGGCTACACCTAAGCCTGCTCCCCTTTCTGGTGCTTAAGACATTTTTGGAAGGGGACACAGGCCAGCCATTTGTTCCCCCAAGACATTCCAGGTTTGAAAGAACAATATGACCACACTCCAGCTGGGATCACACATGGCCTTTTATTTCCAGTGAAATCAATTACTCCTCAGTTAAGCCTTTGGAAACAGCTCCACTTTCAAAAGCTCCAAATGCAGCTTTAAAATATTAATCTGGGCCAGAATTTCAAACGGCCCCACTAGGCTTCTGGTTGATGCCCGTGAACTGAACTCTGACAACAGACTTCTGAAATAGACCCACAGGAGGCAGTTCCATTTCATTTGTGCCAGAATGCTTTAGGATGTACAGTTATGGATTGAAAGCTTCCAGGAGCAAAATCAGGCCCTTCCTTCTAAGCAAATGTCTTCCTGGATTATTCAAAATGATGCATGTTGAAACCTTTGTGTGCAAATATTATTATTTTAAACATTATGATGTGTGAAAATGGGTTAATATTTATACATCACTGTTTTATTGTCCCAAGTTTATACTTTTATAGACAACATGACCGTGAACTTTATGCTGTCAATAATCAGAGGGAAATAAACTATTGAGTCAACACAGCCATCTTCCTTGTGACCAAACATTTAAAAATATTCCAGCCGGGCGTGGCGGCTCACACCTATAATCCTAGCACTTTGGGAGACCGAGGCGGGCCAATCACCTGAAGTCAGGAGTTCGAGACCAGCTTGACCAACATGGAGAAACCCTGTCTCTACTAAAAATACAAAATTAGTCGGGGGTGGTGGTGCATGCCTGGAATCCCAGCTACTTGGGAGGCTGAGGCAGGAGAACTGCTTGAACCTGGGAGGTGGAGGTTGCAGTGAGCCAAGATTGCACCATTGCACTCCAGCCTGGGCAACAAGAGCAAAATTCCATTTCAAAAATAAATAAATAAAAATATTCCTAAAACTTGTCAAATTTTAAAGCACAATTTTCAATTCAAAGGGGGGAAAATGATGTTTTCAACTTGATTATGTATACCTTAAGGCTAAGGCAATTCTTAGAATATAGCCAGGCAATCAAAACATTTTTAGCTTCAGTTTAGAAAAGTGTAACCTACTGTGAAGTTTGCAGCTACCAGGCGCCTCCTGACCCAGGTGGCTGCAGCACATGTGAAAAAGCCCCTTGGCCTTCCTCGATTCCCTCAAAGTGGCTCCAGGAGCCTTTAACAGGAGCAAGATGGTGTAGATTTACGTACAGCTCTCCACAGCAGGCAGCCTCCCTTGCAGGCCTTGCATTAAAATCTTACTTAGCTGCGTTGAATGAGCAAGGGCTCCGGTGGCTGCCCACCAAGGTGAAGTCCTACTTCCTTCAAAGGTTTTGTGTGTGTCTGGCTCACTCGGTGGTGCGGCATCTCCCCTGGCCCTGTGTGGGAGCATGTCTATGGGTTTTCTTTGTGGTCGGTGCCCTGTTCTGCCCAGGCCATTGTTTTTGATATAGCAGATCAGGAGGAAGTTGGTGATGGGTCTCTTTTTGCTCAGGAGCTACACACAGCAGTCCATTTGCATAGCGTTGTATTGGGTTGTTAATTTGTCATCTTTAAATTCATTCAGTAATGAAGCCAGGCATGGTGGCTCACACCTGTAATCCCAGTACTTTGGGAGGCTGAGGCAAGGGGAACACTTGAGATCAGGAGTTCAAGACCAGCCTGGCCAACATGTCGAAACCCTGTCTCTACTAACAACAACAACAACAACAAAGAGGCTGGGTGAGGTGGCTCACGCTTGTATTCCCAGCACTGTGGGAGGCTGAGGCGGGTGGATCACGAGGTCCGGAATTCCAGACCAGCCTGGCCAACAAAGTGAAACTGCATCTCTACTAAAAATACAAAAAATTAGCCAGGCGTGGTGGGGGGCGCCTGTAATCCCAGCTGCGTGGGAGGCTGAGGCAGGAGACTTGCTTGAACCTGAAAGGCGGAGATTGCAGTGAGCTGAGATTGCACCATTGCACTCCAGCCTGGGCGATAGTGCGAGACTCCATCTCAAGAATAAAAAAAAGTTAGCTGAGTGTGGCAGTGCACACCTGTAATCCCAGCTACTTGGAAAGTTGAGGCAAGGGAATCACTTGAATCTTGGAGGAGGAGGTTGCAGTGAGCTGAGATCATGCCACTGCACTCCAGCATGGGCAACAGAGCAAGACTGTCATAAATAAATAAACAAATTTAGCAATGATTTATTAACCAGTTATATTAGGACAACCAGTGGTTAGACAAAACAGACATGGTCCTCAGGATGCCTAGGTGAGGGTAAAGGGAGAGGCAGGCAGAAAACAAGTCAGTTGAAAAAGACATTAAAAAGTCTTCAGCTAGGCACTGTGGCTCATGCCTGTAATCCCAGCATTTTGTGAGGCCGAGGTGGGTGGATCACTTGAGGTTAGGAGTTCAGGACCAGGCTGGTTGACATGGTGAAACTTCTGTCTCTACTAAAAATACAAAAATTCGCCAGGCGTGGTAGTGAGTACCTATAATCCCAACTACTCAGGAGGCTGAAGCAGGAGAACCACTTGAACCCAGGAGGCAGAGGTTGCAGTGAGCCGAGATCACACCACTGCCCTCCAGCCTGGGCAACAGAGCAAGACTCTGTATCAAAAAGAAAAAAATGTCTTCAGACTGTTGGGTTGGTCCAAGGCAGGTTGTCTGAGGAGATGCCAGGTAAGCTCTGTCCCCAGGTATGAGAAAGAGATGGCCAAGCAAAGGGTGAGAGGGAAGAAGTGAATGTTCTGGTCATAGGGAACAAGAGGTACAAAGATGCTGGTGGGGGAAGCAGACTTGTATGCATGGTAGGCTCAACAGTGGCTCCAGAAGATATGTGGATCCTAATCTTCAGGACCTGTGAATGTTGCCTTATGTGGCAAAAGGGACTTTGGAGGTGGGATTCAGTTAAGGGTCTTGAGACGGGAAAATTATCCTGGGTCATCCGGATGAGTCTTAAATGCAATTGCAGTTTCCTTGTAAGAGAAATTTACAGGAAAATGTAAAGCAAAGGGAAATAGGACACTGGAGAAGAAAGCAATGTGACCACCAAGCAGGATGCTACAGTGCTGGCTTTGAAGGTGGAGGAAGGGGCCATGAGCCAAGGATTGCAGCTCTAGAAACTGAAGAAGACCAGGAAACAGATTCTCCCCTACAACCCCTGCAAGCAGCATAGCCCTGCCTGCCTTGGCTCCAGCCCATTTTGGACTTCTGGCCTCCAGGACTATAAGGGAATAATTTGTGTCATTTACAGTTAAAGAAGATCTCCCTTGCTCCTGGGAGGAGACGGGACACGAATATGTAGGGGTGGGGATGGGAGGAAGAAGGAGTGGGAGGCTGCCTCCAAGCTATTGCAGGTGAGAGGCGGTTGGCGGTGGAGGCAGAGAGAAGAGGATGGATTCCAGAGACATTTCGGAGGTGGATTCCCAAGGGCTCACGAATGGGTTGGATGGGAGGGATGAGGCAATGGCAAACATCAAGGATGACTCATAGATTTCTGACTTGAGAAACTGGGGGCCTGGGGAAGTTGGGTAAGAAACCAGTTTGGAAGTGGGAGGGAGTTCTGTTTTGAATTGTCAAATCTGAGACACCAAAATGGAGAGGAGAAGAGGGGACGTGAAAGAATGGTGTGAATTTGGAGTTCGAGTGTCAGACTGAGAATGGGGCCCTTGTGGCTGGATGATGTGGGCTAGAAAGTGATTATGGAGAAAGAAGAGGTCAAGAAGGCCTAGGGAAGATGGTACTGAGATCTTGATAAGTGATTCCTGGTAGAGTTCAGAGTAGGAGAAATTCCCTAACTAAAAGCCTCCTGGGCCTGTGTAGGGAAGTAGGATTCTTGATCGTAAGCTTCTCTGATAGGGAGATTACCTGAAAGGTACATGCTCATGCCAGGAGTTTATCCATGAGCAGACGGATTCCAGTTTTGCAGCTAAGAATACATAATTTTTATGCACAGAAGAAAAGATATTAGAGCAGAATTTAAAAAGGAGCCTCAGATATTCACCATCATCCTTGAAGCAAAAGGATGCCAATATGAGGGCCCTTCCCTCCCATAGCACCAAACAAAAAGCTGAAATGAATACGCCCCACAGAAATGTGAGAGGTGGAGTCTTATTCCAAGCTGCTGAGTTGAGATTGGCACTTCATTCTATTATTGTACCAGGACAGCTTCAAGCCACCATCTTCACTCCGGTGAGTGGCCCAGCCCAGGGTGTGAAGTGCCCAGCACTCAGGGCAATGCCTGGCAGTGCCCGGGCATGAAGGGATGTGCTGCCTCAGGCCCCAGGTGGTAGGTTCCAGGTGAGCCGTAAGGTCGTAAAGGACATTTCCCCTGGAGAATTGCCAGTGGAGACTGCAGCAGGGAAGACTGGCAATCCAGGCTCTTTGGCTGCCCTTGGATAGTTTTTTTTCCTCTTATTTAATCTTAACCTATTATTATTTCCTGAACAATCCACAGATCCAGTTCCCTAAGCCTTACCACTCCCCTGATCACTCACTCTGAAAACGCTTCTTTTTGGGAGCGCTACTCCTCTCTCTGATTTGCAACAACTTCTCTCTTGATATCTTCAGTTACACATTCTCCTCCACCTCTCCCTCTCACCTGCTCTGCCTCCACCCCCAGGAAAGAAGGTCATCCCTTTGGGATTCACCCTTGCCTGGGTTACTGCATCAGTTTTCCTGTTTCTGTCTTTGATCCAACGTGTGAACATATTACAATGTAGGTCAGACCAGCCACTGCCCTGATTTAAATTCTCAGTTCTTCTTGTCTGATGCAGGGTAATAGTCAAGGTCTTATCTGACTGGGACCCCCTGTGTCCTCTCTGGCCTCCCCTTTGTCACTCATACCTGTTCTCTGGGCTCCAACCTCACCAGCTTCTTTGCTGTTTCCTGAGCATACCAGGCACATGGCTGCTTCCAGACCTCTGTGCTCACCTGCCCCCTCCTATAGGAACATTGTTCCCAGGGACAGTGGTGTGGTTGGCTTCTTCGTTTCCTTCCAGTCTTAATTCAAATGCCACCTCCATGAGGTAGTCCTCCCCTGAAAAATCTACTTAAATAGCAGTTCCCAGCCACTGCCTACCCTCTTTTGTATTGTCTTCTCTGCACAAACTACCTGACACCTGGTTATTTTTTCCTTCCCCTAGAATGTCAGCTTCTTGAGAACAGGAACTTGCTCACTGCAGTGTCCTCAGAGTCAACAAAGGTGCCTAGCACATAGTAGGTGCTCAATACATATTTGTTGAATGAATGAAGGATCCACTTTCTTTTTTTAAAGAGGGCAGAAAATAGAATTTGGGGCAGCTTGTAAGGATGAGTCCCCCTTTTTCCGACATTGTTTATGTCTCTTTCCTAAAGGAGGAAGATTCCCTGGGAAGTGGAACCACCTCTAATGCATCATCTGCCCCAAAATGGGACCCAGATGTGGCAGAAAGTTTCCTTTAATAAAGAGCTTTCTGTGTGTGTTTTAAAAATCAAACATAGAAATTATTTGTGATTGATATCAGCAAATAGCTCAAACAGGAGAGCATGGATTTATAGTTCAGCTGGATTAGTTTAAAGATGATTAAAGAAATCCCTTTTATCTTATCA